ATGGGTGACCCGCGGGTATGCCAGATTTCGTATAATATATATATATATATATATATATATATATATATATATGCCACCCGAAGCTAGCACGAGGGCTGGGATACTGCCAGATTGCCCAAGCCTAGACAGGGGAAGTCGAGAGGAAGAGGTCGGTTTCGAACCACAGGCCTTCCGGTCAGTGAATTCGCGCTCTAACCACTGAGTCATCTCGACTCTCCTGTCTTATAGTAGCTAAACACCAGAAAGGTGCCACAGCTGAGCGGTTATCTTTTTTGATGCTGGGTTCGTTGTATTTCTGGTATTTTACTCGTCTGCCGTATGTCGCTGACATCTCACTCGTTCTTCTTATCAAGAATGGACGCACTGGCTGCGGCATTTGATGAAATGTGGTGGCAGAATGGACAGCCTCATCTGGCCATAGAACACGTGCTTTCGATCCTACGAGAAGCTAATGCCTTTGTCGACCGCCATAAACCCTGGGACAAAGAAGCTGCTGTGGAGCCAGAGTTCGTGATTTCAGTGGCAGCCGAATGTCTTCGATTGACAGGACTTTTGTTGCGACCGGTAGTTCCGCGTTTATCAGCTCGCCTACTCCGTCGCCTAGGAGTGGAGAAGGAAGACGATGCAGATCACCGCAAACAGCCGCAGGACCGATATTTCTGGGACTTGGGATCAGACAAACGGCCATTGTTGCAGCGACTCACTTAACTTTCGTCTAGTGTTGTCTGTACAGCTTGATCTTTTACTGATTATTTTCTAGGTTTTTGTGAGCTTACTAGAGCGAACCGGCTAGTGATTTCCGGATATGCTGTAGAACAACATGATTGATTCCGATGAAATATTTTTCATAACCACGTTGAGTTTGTTTGGTCAGGCGATGCAGTTGCACCGGTACGAAAGCCGCTTGGTTCCATTATATTCATCCGTTAGATTCAGCTATAATCAATTCGTTTATTAACGGTAAAGCTGGTTTCATTGTGTTCGGGAATAGTTGGATTGTTTCCGACTAATGTCAACCACGCCAGTCCAGTGAAGTTGCTTTTTCTTCATCGTACAGTAGGCTTAATAGTCAAACAAACGGGTGAGCATCTGTATAGCGCAGTCGTCGTTGATAATTCGGCTAAAGACTGCCCATTATCCATTCTCCGTTTTCAACACAGATGACGGAGTTCCACAAAGTATTAAACTAGGTGTCGTTGACTTCTATCACTAGTAACGACTTTAAACTAAGACATTGTTCGTGCAATCGGTTGTTCAGACTAGTTCCGCATTGGAACAAAGGGGTCCTAGCGCTAGGCCGTACGGAGAGTATTTAAGTTGGTGGGTGTTAAGGTAGAACAGAGAAAATTCGTGAATTTCCAGGAAGGGAGGCGTCAACAGTAGCATTTTTCCCTAACCTACCCTGCTGTATGCAGCAAATAAGGCGACTCGGCAGCCGATGTAATATAAGAGTGTTTGTTGTAAGCATCCTCACCTGAAGCTGCAGTCTTGACGTGGTGGTCGGGTTTGAGTGCTGCAATGATTCCGCGGGCTACACTAGCTGGAACTCCGTCCCACAACGTGCAACCATGCCAAAAAGCACGAAGGGGAGTAGCGAGACCCCGTACTACGAGTAATCGTGCTATGAAGCGCTCTAGCATTAAGTCGCCCTGTCCTCTACGACATGGGTATGCAGGCAGTAAGGCGTATCTCCCAGGCGACCAGCATGTCCATATTTATGGAAGCAGCGACGCTGCCTTACCCCGAGGAAGGACGGGTTAGAAAAGGTAGGCCCCAAAACCGCACACTCCGATCGACCAACGGTTGACCGTGATTGCCGGCGCATTATCCGATACGGTCGAAATTCTTTTAAAACTAAAGAGTGCAATCCTGCTCAAAAGTCACCTGCTGTATGCAGCCGCATCAGGAATGAGACAGCAATGTCTTATTCCCCAAACAAAACCCTACATTCTACCACTGCCTTGTGAATCAGACCTGTGAATCAGATACTAGGGGAAGGGTCCCCGAACAAAACCCTACATCCCCCCACTGCCTTGCGGGTCAGGCTTTTGAGTCAAAGGCTCAAGGTGGGGTACCTCAACCAAACCCCCTTCCTCGGCCTGGGCAACCGGGAAGTACCATTGGCCCGCGCAGTTCGGTGCCCACCGATGTCCCTCACCAACCCCCTCCCACCACACAAGCAAACGTCGCTGGGTCATTTGACTGTCAATTATCTGACCGAAGGGACCTATGCTTCCTACTGCCTATTAACAATAAACAAAATGACACCTATGTCAAATTGGCAAACGAGCAACGCTTGTTGAGACCTTATAATCTCTTAAAATTGATGTACGCTGTTTCTCCGAACCACACATAAAGACCCAAGCGCGGTTTTGTGCGCGCAAATCCCTCAAACGCCAAATAGTAAACAACCTGAGGAAAGACCAAGGGTTCTGATGGGCATTGAAAGGTCGGGAGTTGGAGAAGACCTATTCTACCAGAAACAGCCGTGTCCTCCATCAACTGATGCAATGGACTGGTCCCAGAAAAGCAACGGTCAGCGAAACGATAGGTGGAAAAGATGGCTCATTAATTCACTTACAAAATCGTCGTGTGGAAAGATGGGCCAAACACCTCGAAAAACAATTCCGCTGACCTCCTGCGACCTTGTCAAGGTCTACTGAAAGCTCTCGCTCGCGTTCACCACATCAAGTGGTATCCGACAGGGCTGTCCTCTTCCACCTTTCCTCTTCAACTTCGATCATAGAGGACTTACTACCAGCCTCTAATGCCTGTCAGGTCGAAGCGCTCTCGGGGCGTCCGCTCACAGATATCGAGTATGCAGCTCGACATAGCTCTTCTGGCATCTGAACCCGCGGTAATTCAAACGCAAAAAATAAAATAATTTAATCTAACTAAACAACTAAATAAATGAATAAATAACCAAACTACATAATCTAAATAACTCTATCAACTCCCGCGTCCAGCGCGCAACTACCTACCCCACCCCGAATCATCGGCGAGCGAAACTGTGGCAGCTACAACCACTGTACGACAAGTACACGGTTATTACACCTGACAATGATGATGATGATAAGCTGTACCATTGTTGTACATGGGCTTGCATACTGCCAGGGCGCTCATAACTAGACAGCAGGGCGACTAGGGTCCCAACCAATGCCTTTGACTCAAAAGCCAGAACATAAGGCAGTAGCGATTGGCGGGCAGTGCAGCTGCATTGCCATTTACGCCGAACAAGCCGCCACAGCTGTTCTAACACCCAACTTAGAGGTCCGGGAGGCTGTGTTCGTCAGATGTCTAGCCACTAACCAACAACTCTGTGGGTGTGGCACGGACACAACCCAGTATAGCTCAGTGGGTCATGCAAACACAAAGTCACACCATGTTAAAATCCAGTCTCTTTGTGACCATATTCACCTAACTTTATTCCACGGCCTGTTCACCTTTTACGCGCGGTTCAAGTGGACAACAGGAGCTACTACCCACAGGAATCCTCAAGCACGAACACCGTTATTAGCCACTTCCCCCAACAGTATATTTTTGGTGCACAATTCTTAGGCAAATCCTAGGAAAGGACATAATACCGGTACCCATTGTGCGGTAGCCATTACACCACCTCCAACCATACATCTATCCGAACAGTTTTGCTTGCGAGAACATATATAACTTTGTCACCTGGGTCTTCTAGAATGTTTTTGATGGTTTACTGCAGTACTGTTTAATGTGGAAGCTACTGGTGTAAACAACCAGTACAGATGGAATGAATGTCCCTAGGTGCTGAGAAATGATGCCTTGTAGGTAGTAGAGCGGCCTGTGGGTCCTACTTCCAATAAACGGGATCTTCTACAGAGCTCATAAAATTAGTCGGACTGTAGTGGTTTTGATTGCAGCGACGCTAAATGAAGCCATAAAGGTGGTTCTTAAACTGGAATTCATATGATGTGGGTGCGGAAACCGAAGTACACAATAGTATGTGTGCCGACAAGTCTGAATCCAAGAGTCTCGAAAAGTGAACTCCAGCATCATGTACAAGTTAGTCGCTCTTCTAGAAGAGGCCCTTCAATCTGTCGGTATTGGTATAACCAACGGAAAGTTATGACAAGGTATATTCTATAGTACAAGTACATGATGATGTGAAAGTGAAGTCACAAACGACCGGTGAGGACAGTTGGCATAAAATATTAGCTTGGTTTTAAAATATCCTCTACCGTTATTTCCCCGGCAAGAATCCGATCCAGGTCGTTTTCTTCGCGAAGCAAGCAGAAGTAAATTAGGCACACACCAGCACTGGCAATGATAACAGGATACTGATACGAAGGAATATCCCGTGGCTTTGGCACGAAATTCATTGCAGCGTGCCATTTCTTGTTGGTTGAATACCGTAGTTGGCCATCAGGTAGGACGGCACTTTTGTCCGCTGCTTGCGAAAAGCGCGTCCTGGGTGTGCTCTTAATAGCTTGGAATAACAACCGTCTGTTAGGTACTGAGTACTGTAAAAACGAAACTGTACCTGACGCGGTATGTTCTTATCGCGTTCATCCGCACCGTCACCAGTATTCCAGAGTGGGCTGGATGATAACTTCTGAAAGAATAAATCGCACGAGGATATGACCAAAGTCAACATTTTACTCATTTTTCAGCCACGAACCCTGTACCGAATTCCAGTGCTTCTGACCGCGACAGCTTTACTCACTGAAGATAGATAACCTGTTGCTGTAATTTTAAGCTAGTAGCTCAGAGACCAGGGTGAGAAAAGATAAAAACAACCATTCAGCTGAAACACCATTTCGTACCTAGCCGCCATGCCACCCGAGGAAATTATGGGGCTGGGATACTTCCAGGTTCCCCAAGCCTATACAGAAGTTAAGATGCATGAGTCGGGTCCGAATCACGGACATTCCGGTCAGTAATTTGGCGCTCTAACCACCGAGACATATCGATCAGGGTGAGCTGACTTGAGGAAGGCCTTGGGCAATAGGCTGAAGTTGGCAAAAATCGGCTGCCAGCTCCGCATATTCGCGACCTGCTGTTCTTGGTTGGGAACAGTCGAACCAAAAAAACACTAACGGATCGCCCAACGGTTGACCGCAACCGCTGGCACATTAATCAGGACGATCGAAAGTCAAGAGTTCAGTGTTCCCCAAAGGTATCCTCTGTGCACAGCAGGATTAGCAGCCACACTTCCACATTTTAATTCCTGTCACCTCAAACCAAATAAGTCCTTTACAGCCAGGATGATGAAGCCCTAAATTCACTAGCTCCTAGTGGGGGGCTTCAAAGAAAATCCTTATCCTCCCTGCTTCTCAAACCTCAGACTATTAAATTAAAAGCCAAGGGAAGGGCCTGGAAAGAAAACTCACCACCCACTTCTTCGTGAGTCGAAAGCTCAACGTACGGTACCCCACCTAACGGCTTGAAACTCGAATACAGGACCCAAGTGGCAGTTGAGTTAAGAGAATCCTCATCCAGAAGCAACATAGTAGTCCTGAAGCTGTTTAAGTGGATTGTATCGATGTTGCAATAGCCCTAAGTCCGAGAGCTGAAGGTTTATTACTCTGTTTTCCCTACTAGGCTTGCCCAGAAGAGTCCTCGGAATTTGGTGAACATAATAACTTCTCGGTATTATCAGACTTCCTGGCATAAGGGAGTTTACGGGGGTCTCCAAAAGCTTCCGTACACAAACTGGTGTGCGTCAAGGAAGCCCACTCACTTCATTCCTGTTTAATTTTGTGATCGAAGAGATAATGCTTCAAGCGCTCGAAGGTTTTCAAAACAATGATATTCGAAAAGAGCTGACGAAACACTTGTCCGTATGTGCGAACGACGTCGTCTCCCATCTTTGAAGATAAGGCGTAAGCATTTTTGGATAAGCTGACCAACGTCCCTTGGCACGCGCTTTGCACCCAAAAGGTGTAAGACCATACCTCTGGACATGCAGTCATTGAACACACCACCAAGCGGAGGCACTCGAAGTTGTGGAGCGTTTCAAGTATCTTGGAAATTATATTAGTTCCGATTGTAATGAGGTGAATGCACGAATCTCTGAGACCGACCACGTTTGCCAATTTGAAGCACTTATGGCGACTAAGTGGTATACCCTAAACCTCAAGCGACGTGTGCATCAACCTACAATACGGGCTGTTTGTTGTACAGCTGTGGGATGTGGAACTGAGACATCCTCCACCAGAACCATGGCTCACGTAGAATAGCGTCAGCAAGTCTGCAAGGAGGCAGATAAAAAACGAGTGTTCTGTTGTGCAACGGGGACTTCCATCGAGGAATGCATCCAGGATCAGAAGCTGCAGCGGTTAGGCCATGTACTCCGCATGCCGAAAAGAGCAGTTTCCCGTGCCCAATTTAAAGTGCCGCAGGCAGGTAGGTGGTCTACATTCAACCTAGCAGAAGGGCATGAAGGAAATTACGAAACGTCTGGGTTCTGCCGGTCCACCTCCCCTTCCAGGATGGGGTCCAACTGTGCGTGCTTGGAAACACTGCCAGATCTGACTGCTAATCAATGTCGGTGGTGGTCTTGCTATCAGTTTTTATCCATGTTATCGGAATGAAAGTCTGCATGGGCGAGTACCACGAAATGATTGTGCTTGGTTGACACTAAGTCCCCTACCCACACACTTTTATTCTGTTCTTGACAATAAGACAAGTTATGGATGTACGGCAGCGAAGCATCACTGTTGGACACGGACGTTATGCTGAGAGCGATGATACCGTTAAACAGCCGACTGTGTTGTCCGAATTTCCGATTCGATAGACACCTGCAGTGGCCGAAATACTGAATGCTCTTTACCGTGTCGACTTATGGGCAAATGAACTGTAGTTCCGATTCACTGAAAGACATTTGTCGGGAATTAGCCACCCTCTTGTCCCCCACGAGGGGTTGGCAAACAGTAGCGGATTTCAATGTACAAGTAAGACACAATTCAAAGAAGCGGGCCTTGGTAGTATGTTTAACCTGAGAACAAAAATCAGGACAGTGGGTGCCTTTTGCAACTTAGAAGTGGTCACTTGTTTTTCAGTAGTATTGGGCGCAGTTCTGCCACCTGGCGCCCCAAATAGCTGAACGGCCTTGGGGTCAAATTGACCATAACTCCATCAGCCTTGATTGACCGTCGTTTTTTAATTTAAGTAGAAACTCACATCCCGCTCTTGTTCTGTACAGTTTTTCACTAAACGTCCCAAGTAGCCTCAGATACCAGCTCCTCATTTAGCACCAGAGAAGTCTTAGAAGCCACAGGCAAGGGAGATATACCAGAGCCTACTATGCAGTGCATAACATGCGGCCACCTCGTCGGGCAATGACCGTAACCGGGATGAGATAATCACGGCTAAACGTGACACCATTAACTTCGCTGGTGATATTTCCATGCGCACATACAGAAGTCGCTGGATCTCAGAACGGTCACCACCATTCCTTCTTGTCAGGCACTGTTTTTCTCCGGTCTCAGAGTACAAATCGGCAAGACGATCGATTGTACGACAGCTCAAGAGGCCTGTGTGTCCAGAGAGGGATGCGGAAAGCAGAGTTCGAGAAATGGATGAGGCCAGTGCAGTTGTCAACCAACCAATTTACCGCCTACAAACCCACATCGGTTCCAGCTGCTCCACTTTCGATCACCAGAAACTGGGAAAGATATACAGCCATCGTTTCAGAAGAGCTTGGTAAACAAGCGGTAGTTTTTATTTAGGCAACGTTTCGCTTTTAACACAAAAGCTTCATCAGGCCAAGTGAATAGATCACCACATTGGCCAGGTTATATAAGACAGACGGGGAACCGATCAGTAAGTCCTCTTCACACTGGATCAGTGTTGCGTGTCAATTAACGGCTCTTGTCGGTTAGTGTGGGTGCTAAAATCTTGAATTGATGGGTTGAAGGTGCTTCAAATTAGTCTCGATCGCTTTTCGTTCCTTAATCTTCGACTTCAGGGTCCTTCACTTGATGATTCACCTCAGGTGCCACTGGTAGATTTTCCGTGAACCTCGTGGGCATGTGAATGTTACGACAAGTTAGTTGGGGTGAGGGGGAGGTGCGTAAGGTTGAGCGGAATCCAGATGATGACTACTCTTCCCTCTGATAATTGCACACCAACACGTGTTAGCTCGAGTGACCCAAGACCGTTCTCCACACGCTTGCCAGTTCGGTGCCTTCTATTCTGTTAACACTGGGATGCTTGGCAATTTCTACCGCCTCGGTTATCAGTCTTTGTGACGTGGACCGTAGTCCTCGCCCCGAAACCTCAACATTTTCCAAGTCCATTTTGTGTCCCGTGTCCAGTGCCTGTTCTGCGATTGCCGATTCTTTCAGTAACGCTTGATATTCATCTGCGTTTCTCGGCGGCCTGTTTATTTTTCCACTATGCTCTCCGATTCTGGTGTGTAGTTCCCTTACGTCTGTCTTATATAGACCTTGGTGCAGTCGTTACACTTAATTTTGTAGACACAGTCCCTGGTTGTTTGCCGGGGGGCGATCCTTCAATTGCACCAGTGCAGAACGCAGTGTTCCCCCTTTGGAAAGCTACTCTTACGTTAGCCGTGTTTAGAATTCTTCGAATGACAGATGCCCTGGTTTACACGGAATAACAGCTGTCCCGATCCATTCCCTGTTGGGTTTCGCTACTGGTACCAACACCGTTCGCAATTGACGCCTAGTCAAACTAGCTGGATATCCACTACCTGGAAATTCTTTACTTCAATTCGGGCCGCTGTCCGATCAGCTTCTTCTGTGCATAGGGCCCTTACACGCCTAAACATTGACGAGGCAATACTGGGAAATACCGACTTCGGATGGGCAGACGAGTAGCTCAAAACTGCCCCAATGTCGGTTGGCTTCCCTTACACTGTGGTCTTTAGTTTTCCATCGACCTTATGTCATGCAGTCTAAAAAGACCAGTTTACCCAAGGTTGACTCCATCCCCATACTAAATTTGATCTGCGGAATCAGTTCATTCAGCACTAAACTTGTCTCGTTTCATCATGACGAAGGGATCATCTACATAACGCCAGAATACCTTAGGTGGGTATGGGAATCCGTCTAGAACTTTCTGTCCAAATTCTTCCATAAATATATTTGCCAAAACCGGGGATATTGGAGATCCCATTGCTAAACCTTGTGCTTGAGTGTAAACCACGGAGTCAAAAACGAAGTGGGTGAGATTCATGCATGCTTTTATGCCTTCTACATTTCATCCACCGTGAGCTGTGTCCTTTCTGAAAGGGTGGTGTCTGCTAGTAGCAGTCGCTTAGCTATTTCTAAAGAGTCCTCTTTCGGCACATTTGTATATAACAAACCGACATCGAAACTTACCAGGATTTCATCTGGTTCAATGGTGACCCTCGCTACTTTGTTGGCAAAGTCATACGGATTCTTAATGTAAGTACCGGATTTCCCGGTGAAAGGTTTTAAAATACCGGCCAAGAATCTGGCCAGCTCATGTGGTGGGGAACCTATTCCGTCTACTGTCAGTCTTACCGGGATATCTCATTTATGGATTTTTGGAAGGCCATAGAGCCGTGGTTGGGTTGAGATTTTGGGATACAATGGATAACAGTTAACTTGCCCTAAGTGGTTTATCACGGACCGAAAATATTTGCCAACTTCAGCTTTACTCCTATTCATTATAGATGTAATATTCGCATTATCGATCATCCGGTAAGGTCCCTCAGTTAGGTGTTGCTTGACCTTCTGTAGATAGTCACTCTTGTTCACGACAACAGTGGCCTTACCCTTATCCACCTTTGTAATCACTGTGTTGTCCACCTTAGGGTGTGTAAGACTCTTCGCTCCTCTGGTCTAATATTTGGAGCTCCTGGCTGCTGGGACTCAAGGACTGTGACAACTGTATGGGTAGCTTCTCCGTCTCCATTGGCGGAAGTTTTTGGAACACAGATTCAACGCTTATTATTATTATTATTATTATTATTATTATTATTTCCGCCCTTATCACTTTTTTGCTTACTGCAAAATTCAAGCCTTTCTCCAATAGACAACGCTGTTTCTCACTTAGTTATCTGTTTGATAAATTGACCACCCTACAATAGCTAGTATGGGGCTCGAGCTTGGTCACGGGCTCACTAGAATTCTGAGTTTTTGAAAGTAACTTCTCGAACTTACGGATTTGTCTTTCTTTGCAACATTACCCTTGGATGGCTTACACTTCTGTTGCTTTGGTTTTGAGTAACTAGAAGTCTGTGGGCGAGGGCACGGTTTGAAGATCTTGGATGAGCCGACATGCGTGGTGACGGATATCAGATAAACACTGAGTAGTCAAGTATATCCTCTGTTCGAGGAATGATTTGGCCGCTGCGAATGCTATTCGGGCGGAAGCGAGTGACGCGTCCGGTGGCTTAACCCGTAAAGATGTGCGGATTATGTTGTGCTCCAAGCATCTTTTATTGAATATGCGGTGGTTCTCCCATTTCGCCTCTAGCGTTTGTGTCAAAAGCGAAAAGTTGTCCAAATGAAAACTAGCTGTTTACCACGGTCTTCTGAAACGATGACTTCCCAATCGGTTCCGAACTTTCTTCAATACACAGCCACGCTTTGAAGGTGATAGCATGTTCAGGTACTTCGGCAGCTAGTTAGCTACTAATTGAAGGCGATAGTTTTGATGCACGAGCACCACTGACTGAGTGATTGGGCCGTTTCAGCTGGTGTAATTGACTATTAATGTGTTGATAACGGGAGTCACCATCCAAGAAGGCGGCAGTTATCGGCCCACCTAAGTTGCCGGTTAGTATTTTTGTACTTTCCTGCCAGGTTACACACTATCCGTCTCTTGGTCGCTTCCACTGAGCACAGGGCTGGGCGAAAAAGGGACTGCGAGGCAGACGGGTTTCTGGTATCAAGAGTACATTTCTTAGCAATCATAACCTGTGAAGCGTGAGTAATTCATCTACAACGGGAGAGTTCCCTCTCCCAAAGACCATCTGACGTACATCAGAAATACGGATCCGATATTAATATCAGATCCACACAGCCAATGTTTCGGAGACGCCGATGGTCAAACACTGATATCTTTCGTATGTCCTCTGATTGTACAGGCCATGTCTCTGATCTCCCGACCTAAAGCTGCTACCTGGAAATGGTAGTCGGGCGAGTGCCGCAGTAACCCCGCGGGGCTACACTGGTTGGAACTTGGTTCCAGAAGGTGCAACCACGCCAGAAAGGCCAAAGGGGACCAGTAAGACCAAGAGCCGCGAGAACCTGTACTACGAAGCGCTCTGGAAGTAAAGCCGCACTATCCTCTACGACAGGGGTGTGAAGGGAGTGAGGTGTTTCCCCCAGGCGTCCAGCATGTCCATATTTATGGAAGCAGCGATGCTGCCTTACCCCGAGGAAGGACGGGTTAGAAAAGGTAGGCCCCAAAACCGCACACTCCGATCGACCAACGGTTGACCGTGATTGCCGGCGCATTATCCGATACGGTCGAAATTCTTTTAAAACTAAAGAGTGCAAACCTGCTCAAAAGTCACCTGCTGTATGCAGCCGCATCAGGAATGAGACAGCAATGTCTTATTCCCCAAACAAAACCCTACATTCTACCACTGTCTTGTGAATCAGACCTGTGAATCAAATACTAGGGGAAGGGTCCCCGAACAAAACCCTACATCCCCCCACTGCCTTGCGGGTCAGGCTTTTGAGTCAAAGGCTCAAGGTGGGGTACCTCAACCAAACCCCCTTCCTCGGCCTGGGCAACCGGGAAGTACCATTGGCCCGCGCAGTTCGGTGCCCACCGATGTCCCTCACCAACCCCCTCCCACCACACAAGCAAACGTCGCTGGGTCATTTGACTGCCAGTTATCTGACCGAAGGGACTTATGCCTCCTACTGCCTACTAACAATAAACAAAATGACGCCCTTCTAAATCCATGAAATCCTTTTTATATAGGAGCTTTTAACGTCCGTACCCTATGTCGAACTGGCAAACAGGCAACGCTTGTTGAGACCTTATAATCTCTTAAAATTGATGTATGCTGCTTCTCCGAAACACGCATAAAGACCCAAGCGTGGTTATGTGCGCTCAAATCCCTCAAACGCCAAATAGTAAACAACCTGAGGAAAGACCAAGGGTTCTGATGGGCATTGAAAGGTCGGGAGTTGGAGAAGACCTATTCTACCAGAAACGGCCGTGCCCCCCATCAACTGATACGATGAACTGGTCCCACAGAAGCAACGGTCAGCGAACAGTAAGTGACAAAGATGGCTCACTAATTCACTCGCAAAATCGTCGAGTGGAAAGATGGGCCGAACACTTCGAACAGTTCAGCTGGTCGGCTGCAACCTGTAGAGATAATGCATACGGATGAATGGAATGTAAACCTTATCGCCCGTCGGAAGAAATAAAGTACAAAATAGCCGTAGTGAAATGCGGCAAGGTCTTAAGACCGGACGGTTTCTATCCAGTCCTCTTCAAAGAAGGCGGACCCAAGGTGACCCAAGTTACAGAGAGAAAGTGTTCACAAAATGCGGTACACCAACAGGTATTTCTCTTTAAAAGGTACGCGGACGCGTGGCATCAACCTGTTAGCTTCAGCGTCAAAAGTGCTCTATAGAATTGTCCTTCGAAAGTTGACTGAACACAGGGAGAGACAGGTCCATGAAAATCAAGCTGGATTCCGTCCTGCAAGAGGATGCATTGATCATT